TAATTGAAATACATGTATAAGTATACTAATCATTCCTATTAAATAATTTAACTAATTATGTAATATTAAGTTATTACAGAATTAAAAATATTATTTAAGAAATATTTTCAAGTATTTTACATATATTTATATTTTAAGTTAATGTTACAATTAAGAAATTAAATCTTAATTAACATTAACTTAAATATGATTCGAATATTTATCTCAATGCTATATTTTTATTTTTAAACTAAGTTATTATTTTCAATGCTTTTTCATTAGATATAGCACATACTATCAATTACACTACGTTTGCATTAAGATTAAAAGATGCATTAAGTTTATTTTCAGTTTATTCTAAATTGTTAAAAGCCACGAAAGTTTCAAAATATATTGAAAATTGATTCACAATTCTACTTATCCTTCAAGGATAAGCAGAATTGTGAATTAATTTTTAGTAATTTTTTTATTTTTTTGATTAATCGCTCGAAATCCTTTTGCATGCCAAACAGAATAAAAACTTATTAACTTCTGTATTAGAAAACGGTTAAGTGATTTCAACAGTTTTAGTTAATTGATAGAAAATTCTGTAATGAACTGTATATTCATAGAACCAATTAAATATGAATTGTTAAATTTTAAATATAGACTGAAAAGGGTCGTATATGTATGTTCATTCATTGGGCCCATTTAAAAAAAATTATCCATTTATATAGCAAATATTTATTTAATTAAGGATATATATATATATCCTTAATTATATACTGTAAATATATATATAAATGGATATATATATATATATCTATATATATATTATTGTGAAAAAAATGTCAATGGTAATTATAGCTTCATGTGTACTTAAAATACTTTTGTCATACTAACAGTACAGTCAATGTTGTTTGAAAGATAATACAGCATGTGTTTACAACATGACTTTAAATATTCTGAAAGTAGGTTGAAAACTTGAAATATCTCACAAATCTCGAATATCAGTGATAGAAAAACTTTAGAGTTAGGTTAAAATTTAGCGATTTTGAATGAGTTAGAAGGAAAGATCGTTCGATTGAAATAGCCATTGTACTTTAGTAGTGATATCAAAAAAAGGAAACTTGAATCTAGTTGAATTTCGATAGATTCGAAAGCTGATAATTTCCCAATTTCTAAGAGGAAGATTTTCTAAGGTTTTGCAGAATTTAGTTAAATTTTATGTTCTTATAAAAATAAATTTCTTATATTAAGAATAAGATGCTACTTTCATCTACTGTGTACAAAATGGCACGTGATAGACTATTTTAAAAATAACTTTTTTGGAAGAAAAGAAATTATCGATAAAATTAATAAACAGAAAAATTGTCTAGAAATATTAGTTATTAATGGTATTAAATGTGTTGTAATATTTAAGCTATATATATGTTTTTGAAAATCATAAGCATTTAGATTAAAATGTAATTAAAATTTAAAGTTTATTAAACTAATCAATTATGAGAAATTCAAAGAACTTTTAAAATACGTTTATTCACTATAAAGCTATTAATAATAAATAAATAAAAACATTTGCTACTTTATACCAATAAAATGAAAATAAAATATATTAATTCTAACAAAAGAAAACATTCTTTACAATGTAAGCATTATTATTAAATTTATATATTAAAAACAACTAAATATTCTTAAATATTCACATTCTTCTAATATTTAAAGATATAATTTTTATTATATTTGAAAAATATTCAAATACAATAAACATTAAGAAAATGTTAATTTCTTTGAAAAGAAACATATTTTTAAATTTGGAACGCTTAGTTTCCATAGATTAAAAGATAAAATCTTAACAACTTACATATATGGCTAAGGTAAAAAGAAGATTTTGTTTGTTTTTAAAATTTTAATGATGAATTTCAAAGATTTTCAAAAATAAAAAAGGAAGTATAAACAATAAAGATCATCGAGAAATTAAACAAAAAAATTTTTAATCAGCTAAAACTTCTAAATAATATTTTAAATTGGATAAAAAAGAAAAAAAATTAAGTTTAGTAAATAAAACTAGTAATTAAATTTTTGCATGGCTTCCTTTTCTGTTATATAGATTTTTTTAAAGTCGATTATTTTTTAAATGGCTAGAAAAATTATTACTGCTCTCATTATCAATAATATTAAAATTGTAAATGCTATTAAGCAAATAGTTTTATAATTATAATTAAACTTTTCTAATTAAATTCAGCAATTTCATTCTTTATCTCCAAGAAAATATCATAAAAACTTTAATTAAAATTTATTTATTATAATCATGATTCATAATGTAAGTTATGAATTAAGACATGATTCATGAGATAATTTTTTATAAGTTAAGAAAAAATATTAAGTTTGACATTAAATTTAAAATAAATTCGTAGAATAAAATTACTTTTCTAAACAAAATAATTTAACTTTTATGGAAATAAATTTAAAATTACCGCCAGAAAAATGTTAAACTTTTTAAATTATCTATAAATCAAAACAATCTTTTTTTTAATACTTCGAAACTAAATTAAAAATTTAATCTTTTAAGAGAAGTTTTCAACTAATTTTATATATTTATATATATATATATCAATATTTA